AACTTTCATGTCTGTCCATGAAAAGCTGGAGAAGACAAGATGTCATTCTATGCATCATGTCCAGACCTGTGACACATATATGTACATGCCATGTTGTTGATGCCTCATATGACAATTGTATTTTTTTGATGTTAAAGGACGGAGGAGTGTGGAGCGGAGGAGGCAGGGCAGCGAGGGTGCTTCAGAGGTGGCCATGGAGCAAGCAGTTGTGGAGGAGGCTGACGTGGTGGTCGAGGCTGTGGACTCCTCTTTGTCCTCTTCTTCTGGTATGTCCTGTTGTATTACAACATTAGGGCATGGTCTGAGTACTTCCCATGTTTATGACCTCCATGTGTTGATTCCATTATAGTTAATGTGGACCTTGTTGAGAGCGAGGAGAAGAGTCCATTGTCAGAGAGCTCATGTTCTGGTATGTGGACTTTAATACATGTTAAATGACATATGAGATGATTATACGCTGCATGTTAAGCTTTCCATTGCCTTTTTTCCATGATAGTGGTACTTGAGGAAGCTGCGTCAGAGGGGAGTGAGAACGTTGCAGGACCATCCTCCACTTTGCCATCTGGTATGTCCTGTTTTTTACAAATGACATACCCAGTGATTTTGGTAACATTGTAATTGCCTGTTGTATTTGATGATTACATTCCAGGTCATGTTGCAGCTCCAGAACAGGGACGGCCACAAGTGGGTGGAGTTTGCGCTGCTGTTAGCCGCTGTTGTGCCGTCCTGGAAGATGTGATGGAGCACATGATGGAGTTAAGGCGTGCTCTCCAGGATGTGCGTGAGGAAGTGATGAAGCTGTAGGACATATCAGCTCCCCGTTTTGCCAGATCTGCCACGTTGGCATTTGCACTGCCCTGCCCCTGTTTACAAGCCCCCCTTGTTTGACTTGAATTTCTATTTATTAGTTTTTCTATATAAATATTTTATTAATGTATGCCTTGTGTCAGTGTCCTCATTTCAGGCATGACCGCTTTACAGTCTTCCTGCTTGACTGATGCTGTGCATGCGTTTGTCAGGGATGTTTCTTTGTGGTAATGCGTGCTTTGCCTGGTGCATGTCGCAGCTGTGCAATGGCCAGGGACACACAGCATACACATGTGTAGGGCGTACTTGACAATTTGACATTTATCCAACTGTGTCCCAAAGGAGAATGGACATGTTGTTCATGTTGCATGTTTTGCGTTGGATGGGGTTAATGGCAATTATTACGGGGTTACTTTCAGCATCCTCATGTGTGGTGCACATGGGGACTGGTCCGCATGTGTGTCAGCTACATGAGGAGATATGGATTTTGGTGTGAGCATTGGTTATTGCATCTGTACTCAACATGTAGCCCCAGCAATGGCTGAGCGAGTGGTCCATGAAGGTACCAGAACAGAGGTGTGGGTGCTGCGAGTAGAGCCAGCTGCCGTCATTCTACTTTCGCTTGTCCGTTCGTTTAACACATGCGCTGAACGAACGGTGCGATTGTTGACGAACGATTACTCCACTCTTTGAACGATTATCGTACGATTACGCACAGGTTTTCGAACATGCTGGGTAGTCGAACGTCGTACGATTGTACAGTATTCGCGGTCGCACACTGCCCATACACCGCGCGATTATCGTACGAAAAAATGATCGCATACAATTATCGTATGATAATCGTGCAGTGTATGGCCACCTTTAGGGAGATGCACCTTAGCTGTCCTGTTGATTGTTATCACTGAAAACGAAAGAAAATCCAAAATGGATTTTCACCAGAACAGGAATGGACTGCTGACAACTAGGGATTTGCCTCACTTTGAAGGGTTTTCCTGACTTCCTGAAGTGGCTATTGGACAGGAAGTGAAATCTCCCCGATGTGACATAGATGGCAATAAAGCTGATCTTGTTACAACCATCCCCTACTCCAGGGGTGCCCACAATTTTTTGTGCTGAGATCTACTTCTCAAATGACGAGCTACATGAGATCTACCAACGAAAAAAAAACCTCCCTTGCTCTCTCTCTCCTGGCTGTCTCTCCTTGCTGCCTCTCCTCTCTCTCCTGGCTGTCATTCCTCATTTTCTCTCCTGGCTGTCTCTCCTTGCTCTCTCTCCTGTCTGTCTCCCATGTCTCTCTTTCCTGGCTGTCTCTCCCGCTCTCTCTCCTGGCTCACCTTGCTGTATTTTGCAAACAGTGTAGTGCAACAGGCTGTATAACCTAATATTCTTTGATGTAATCCATAGCACTTCAACCACCAGTATCCACCAGAAATGTGTCGGGGAGCTTGGCTCAGCAGACTCAGGCTAATAGGTAATCCTGTGTGCACAGCTAAATAAATATACCAAAATGGAATATAGGGGCCACCATTCACACCCTTCCTGATCTACCAGCATCAGCTTTCAGAGGTACTGGTAGATCACAAACTACCTATTGGGCATCACTTCCCTACTCTATCTAAAACTAAAAAAAAAAAAGTTTTAGCTTCACTTCTACTTTAATGACACTAAACTCATTAGTTAAATCTTAATGCATTAAGTACCCTATTAACAAAAATGTATCTTATTTGTGTATTACCCAGCTGAAGATCCTCAAATCATCTCTGAATTGGTGCTGACACTGTCCTTCCTTCTGGAGCGTGGATACTTCTGTTCCTTATGGTCTCTGTGCAGGCCCGGATTTCCCACAAGGCCACCGAGGCCGGGCCTCGAGGCAGCAGGGCGCAGAGGGCGGCAGCGGTGTCCTTGTGGGGAAGTTGCGGGTGCCGGCGCCCGCAATGAGGAAGCCGATTGTTCGTTTACATGTCATCTCGGCGCTGTAGCCAAGATGACATGTAAAAAGTCTGCAGCCAGCCGGCCGGTCCGTCCTCCCCTCCCCCCCACTGCACTTACCTCTCTCCTCTGGTTCCGTCCTCCGGCGCCGAGTCTCTCCTCACTGCAGGTAGCAGGGCTGCAGGGTTAAAAGTAACCCAGCCGCTCCGTGTAGACAGTGAGAGGGGAGAGCTGTGCTCTTCCTCTCTCACTTGTCACCGGAGTTCCTGCACAGTACTGTACTAGAACTCCTGTATTGGAGGTGACAGGGTCAATAAGGAGAACCTGTCACCTCCAATTGCTATCACACAGGGGCTTGTTATCTCCTGTGTGATAGCAATAAAGTTAGGTGAAAAAAAAATTACATTGATTTAAAAAATGTTTTAACCAGTTGACATCCGGAGTGTTAAACCCCCTTCCCATCCAGGCCATTTTTCAGTATTCAGCGCTGCGGTACTTTGACTGACATTTATTCCGTCATGCAGCGCTGTACTGAAATGAATTTTATACC